GAGGAGAAACGAAGAACACAATGCTTGCAGAGGCGATTGCACTCTACAATGGAGGAGAAACGAAGAAGACGACGAGCTTCAGAGGCGCTCGCAAAATCCATGCTCGCTCGGGAAGAGGAGAAGCCGAAGAAAACGAGATTGCAGATGCACCGCTCACTGGGAAAGATCTGGATTGCAGAAGTGGTGCTCGCTCGCTTAAGCGATCTGGCGGAACCTATCAACTTGAATCGATGGAATGGCGACAATGGCAAAGTAACGTGGCTGGTCGACTGGTTGTGTAGTAGATATTTTCCCTTAGTGGATTCCTCCATCTAGTAGTGATTTTCCATTTGTAAGCATTGATTTATGTTAGTGATTCATATTAATGTTACTAATGTAAATTCCTAAATTACTAGTGAAAACAATTAAAACACTACAAGAAAATATAAAGTTACTATTATAACCCACAAAAACCACTACTAATTTAAGTAGTAATTTTTTAACATTGAAAATCTCTATCAAAGAAAAGATTTAGATATTCTAAGAAAATAATAATCAATAAACAATTTTTTGAAATAGCAAATATAAGGGGCTTGCTATTTGCCGCCAAAAAAATTGCTATTTGCCGCCAACTAAAAAAAAAGAAGTATATATGTACATCTTTGGTTAAGAAGTTTCACAATCTACAACATATTCAACTTTCAGAAAACGTATTGAATCAGAAAAAATCGACGCTCGCCGGAAAAGTCGCCGGAAAACCATCGGGAAAGCCCATCCTCGACGTAAACTGCGGACACTCATCCATGAATCATCACTAAGCAGGTGCGTCAATTTTTTTGTAGTTTCGAACAATTTTTCCGACGATATGCAACGAACAGAGGGCCGGGCCGAAAAATTCCGGCGGCCGGAACCTGGCCGAGCCGAAAATATCCGGCGGCCGGAACCTGGCAGGGCCGATTTGCACAATATCATACTTAGATGCGGACTAATTAATTGAATTTTTATTAACTAATGTACTATTAACATTAATTGTTAATTAATCACAAATTAATTAATATCATACTTAGATGCGCACTAATTAATTAAATTTCTATTAACTAATGTACTATTAACATTAATTGTTAAACCAATTCTTAATTAATTAATTTTCTATTAACTAATCTAAGTAATTAAACATTCATACGCCTATTACAAAAAAAAAACATTTATACACCAACTTAAAAAAATATTAACACTAATTTCTAATAACTAATTAAGTAATTTTTTATTGACTAATTAATTAACATATTAAATTAAATTAAATACTGGCCGGGCCGAAAAAAATTTGCGGCCGGTGCGCCGCCGGGCCAAAATTTTTTTGCGACCGGTGCGACGTCCGGCCGAAAATATTTTTGGGCCCGTCGTCGCCCCGGCCGCAAATTTTTTTCGGCCGGTCGCCGAACACGCCGTCGGAAAAATTTTGGGAGCCGTGTTCGCCGACCGGCCGAAAAAAATGGACGCCGCCGGGCCGAAAGAAATTTTTCGGCTCGGCGGCGTTCCGGCCACAATTTTTTTCGGCCCACCGTGTTTTTCGCCGGAAAACTGGAAAACTTGCCGGAAAATTGAAAAACTTGCCGGAAAAAGTAAACTTACTTGTTTTCCGACGATTGAGGACGACGGGAGGTTGGCCGGCGACGGAGGCACTGGGCTCGTCGACAAAAGTGTTTTTGTTGGAATGAGTCAAATGTTATGGTATTCGAATTTATAGAATGAAAGGAAGGGAGAATTCAAAATTTGAATTCAAATTTTTTTTTTTTTTTTGGTTGGCGGCAAATAGCCGTTCACAATATAAGCTCCCTCCTTAACCACCTCTAAAATATAATGAATAGTAATTAGGTTGTTAGCATGATGATAAGCTTTTTGACCATCAGTTACCAAAATATTCTTAATTAGTTATGTTAACATGGCGCTAACATTAATGAGTTAATGAGTTATGTTAGCACCCTATCATGTCCTAAGGAATATGAGGGTCTGGAAACCACAACTCTGCTTTCTTCCAATTACACGTCTCCCCGACCATCAAGTAAACTGATTTGTTTCCCTTTTCCCCAAAACCTCTTTTATGTTCCACTCCATCCATCCCTCTCTCTAGCCTCCCATATGATTTCTTCGCACACATGCCTGATTTCCAAAGCGGCGGTTCTTCCCAGTTGATTTTTTTTATATAATGGTGATTATATTAATAAAAGCAAAAAGAAGCGAAATACAAACAAAAGGAGAGATATAGGCTCAGGAGAACTGAACCCAACCCTCCCAAAGAGTGCTGAAACAAAAAAGAAAAAGCAAAACATACAACACCAAAACTAAGAAGACAAAAACATAAGGAAGAAAAACACAAAAAGAAACAAAAACCAGCTAGACGGACCAAACCGTCCCTGCTGAAACAAGTGAAAAGAAAGAACCGATCAACAAAATAGGAAGGAGGAAATTAGGATCTAGACAAAAAATCAGTAAGCCAAACAGCAACTTGATCCTTGTCAATCTTGCTATGAGCATAAAGCCAGTAAACAACCATCCTGACTATCTTCTGAGCAATGATCTTCGCCGATAAATGAGAGTCTTTAAAGATACGCAGATTTTTCTGCAGCTAGACTGATCAGTAGGTAGCATGAAGTATACTAAGAGTGAGCCAATCATCGGTACTGCTGGGTGTCAAGGAAGGTCTATTGCTGATGATACAAGACAGATCCCCTTCCAAATTACCTATAAACCTCTTTGTTCTCTTTATATCATTCCAAACATTCTGAATGAAATCACACTTAATAAATAGATGTTCCGCACTTTCTTCTTCATGGCAACAGAGTGCGCAGCGGTTTGCTAGAGACCATCCTCTTCTTTTTAGAACATCCAATGTATAGATCTTCTTGTGCCAAAGTGTAGCACCATAGGCGAATCCCACATCGACAAAGCACGTGAGAGATCCATGGTTCATAAGTAAGAAACCGACCTTAACTGACAAGACGCGTTTTGGGGTGTAATGGAAGAGTTCTTGTTAGAACTCTGAAGTTAAACGTGCTCAGTGTGGAGTACAAAAAGGATGGGTGACCTTATGGGAAGTCACCCTGAATTGCACCCCAAATTGAAATCCGTGCGGGTGTAGAGGCCCAAAGCGGATAGTATCTTGTCGGGAAAAGGTTCGGGATGTTACAAGTGGTATTAGAGCCTCTTCGCGTCCCTGTTGAACGATGGTGGGGCAAACCCCAACGAGGGCGTTGAGTCCCAAGGGGGGGGGGTGTATGTAACACCTTAGGCGAATCCTACATCGACAAAGCACGGGAGAGATCCATGGTTCATAAGTAAGAAACCGATCTTAACTGACAAGACGCGTTTTGGGGTGTAATGGAAGAGTTCTTGTGAAAACTCCAAAGTTAAACATGCTCACTGTGGAGTACAACAATGATGGGTGGCCTTATGGAAAGTCACCCTGAATTGCACCCAAGTCGAAATCCGTGCGGTTGTAGAGGTCCAAAGTGGACAGTATCTTGTCGGGAAAAAGTTCGGGATGTTACACAAAGGGTCCAAATGAATAAGCAAATTTTGCTTGGGATGAAGGGCTTCCAAATAGTTGTAGCCTCAAAGTTCTGGATGCCGGAAAAATTATTCAGAAGAACCTGATTATAGATCGAGCTAACAGAGAAAACACCTTCTGGTTTTGGTATCCAAGTAATCCTGCAAGGACTGTTAGCAGCAAGCTGCAAGTTTCCAGAATCCAAAAGATTCAAAAGACTCACTATTTCTCTCTCCGCTTCACCTCTCAAACTAACACTCAAGTTAAGATTCCAAGTTACCTCATTATCAGTGAAGGAGGCCACGTCCGTGATTCCAAGACTCACTCTTCCCAGTTGATCTTATTGATAGAACTGTGCAGACCGACTCTAGAAGCACCAGTTTGAAATCGAGATTTCTTGCCATCTTCATAGCCCACGTCGGAAAGCCTTTTCTTCTGCAATCATCGAAGGCCACCCCACTCGGCTTAGTTACACCGCCGCTATATGTAACTTTCCACTCCCACCTCGAATCACCATTCGCATCACCTTTACTCCTGTGGATAATGTCGTTGCGTCAACATTCATTTTATAAGCTCCCGCTCTAGGCTTCTCCCAACTATATTTTTGGGGTTGAGAAGTTTAATTATCATGTTTGTAATTTATTTTCGTAATTTCAATATATCGATTTGAGGGAGAGTATCGACTCTACGCATTTGTTGACAAAAGAAATGACGGTTTTATTGATGTCCATTCTTTTTCTCGTCCAACCCTAATATATGATTTTGTTTTATTTAGTTGTAACAACGTATATGTTCTCTCCACCACACAATAAATAAATAAAAACTACAAAGTTTCATAAGATCTATATTGAACTCTCATGGATGTAAAGTTCTTCAAGGCTAGCCACTTTAAATCCACATGTCTTCTATATTTTCATTTATAGTATAATTAACTAGCGTCCAAAGAGCAAAGTGATAATCCAAGTTATATCACTGACATTTAGTCCAATCCGAAAATGTTCAACACATCATATCCATGCGCAAATAACTAAATTCAGTGCTAACTTGATTAGCCATGTAAGTACAGGCCCAACGTCATTCTCCTCAACACTAAAATATCAGCACAATACTCGACGTCACTTTCCTATGTCATGTTTCCCACGTTTTGGTTTTAGGAATCTTCTTGGATCGAACACCACAGGTTCTCTACTTGCTTGCTTTTTTTTTAATACTTTCACACGGACCAGGAAGCGGGTAAGGACCTGTCGCTATACCGATGTGGTACCACAGTACGATGACGAATAATTACACTAAATTACTGTGAAACGTGTCTGTGAAACACGTTCTCTTTATTATACTCTGTTTTCTTTCATTTGTCTATTTCCCACCCGCTCGTCAAATTCATCCCCTTTGAACATCGGATGGGCCCAAATTGACTGCCACACATTTATATATATATATTTCTAAATCTAGGTTGCCCCTGCACACTCATCTTCCTTCACTATAAGTGGGCAGACACCCTAAAGCAGAAGGCAGGCAGTCCCTTCTTTCAAACAGAGGAGTGATTCACGTAGCAAAATCTCTATATCCAGAGTTCAGTAAGTGAAGAAACATGGTGAGAACACCTTCCTGTGACCAAAATGGGATGAGGAAAGGGACCTGGACTGCAGAGGAAGACAGGAAGCTGATCGCCTATGTCACTCGCTATGGCTGCTGGAACTGGCGCCAGCTCCCCAAATTCGCAGGTACTTCACTTGACCATTTTTTTTTTTTTGTTTTCTCTTGGTCTTTGACTAGAAATCAACTGGGTTTCGGTCAAAATCAACTGGGTTTCACTCAAAAATCAATTCTGACCAAAATTTGATTCAACTTTTTTGTTTTTTTCCAGGGCTGAAAAGGTGCGGGAAGAGCTGCAGGCTGCGGTGGATGAACTACCTCCGCCCCAATGTGAAGAGAGGGAATTACAGTAAAGAGGAAGAAGAGACCATCCTCAACCTCCACTCATCCCTTGGAAACAGGTAATTAATTTACAGCTCGCTTCCTGCCAAGTTCATTCAGTCATAGAACGAACCACTGGAATTACAGTAACTAACCATTCGATTTAATTTGATGCTGTATTCAGATGGTCAGCAATTGCGGCCCACCTTCCCGGCCGGAGCGACAACGAGATCAAGAACCACTGGCACACCAGCCTCAAGAAACGCGCCAGGCAAAGAATTAGTCAGGAAGTGAAACTACTGGATGAAACCCAGAAGATAGAGGAGGAGAAGAAGGTTGAGATTCCACAAAAAGTCCAAGTACCGGAGAGCAGCTCCACGATTAGCTCAACGTCAGCTTCGACACCTGGGAGTGAGCCCAGTTGTATGTCCTCGTCAGCATCATGGGCCGGATTTGGAGATGAGCTGGTTTCCGACGATGCGAGCTGCTTCGCCGATGTGTGGGAGGCCGAAGCAGCAGCAGCAGCGGCGGCGGCGGCGGAGGCTTACTTTAGTGATGAGATGGAGATGGAGAGGGAGTTGTACGGAGGGTGGACAGAGTCGCTGCTCACAACTGAGAGCTACTACTGGCAGGTGCCCAGTAGTGAGTTTTTCGCCACTTTCGCTGCCGATCAGGAGCCTCAGTCGCCCTTGTTTTGCTGAACGGCGGCGGTGATTCATCATTTGAGTTGTAATTATTTTATCTAGTAATTTGATGAGGGTGGTGATTCGTGATATTGCAGTCCCCAAGAGCCCAATTTTTTTGTGTAGTGGTAAAACTAGTAAAACTAAATAAAGACGGTCGTAATTAATTAAGTAGAGTTATGAAATCAGTTGCAATAATATTATTACTGCAAAAACTTTTGCAGGGGTTGGCAAGTGGGTTCAAGTGGATAGGATGGAAGGTTTGAGGCTTATTAATTGATGATTATATATATTTAGGTGGCATGATTGGGGTTGGATAAGGAATAAATCTCTATTTTATCCTCTTTGTGATGTTATGTTAATTGTGGTTTTGTTAACTCTGACTCACTACCTCCAGGTATTTCTTTATTGTCTCCCGGAACTATGACCTTCGAATTTGCAGTTTCATTCATTAAGCCTTGTAATTAATCGAATTCCTTTTCCTTTTTTGCCACAGTAATTAAAGTCAGTATTTCCAAGTTGATTATAAACAACGGAAAATCGAAAAAGAACGTTTCTAGCACATAAACAACATACAATTAGAATTTATTCTGAAGAATACATTCTTTTTTATTTTACTAACATAAGCCTGCTCGCAGTAGCTTCGCGTGTGAGCGAGACCATGATATTTCAAAAATTAATAGTTTGAATTTTGACCCAAAAATAAAGGGTTTGTCATCAACAATTTCATGTAGTCGACGCAACGATGAACTTTAATAAGCGAGAAGGGCCGTTGAGAAATGATTTCTATGTTAAATCTTCTCTCGTAACACTATTGATTAGTTGGTATTCCTTTTGCTTCTATTTTTCCAAGTTCATTCTCAACCAAAAAAGAAAAGAGAAATTAACAAACACTAAACCAGATAAAACTCGCTCATGACCCAAAACTCGAAAACATCATGTTCAACTCTCTTTGATCGAGTTGAACCGAGTTTGTAACAAATTCACAACCAACTCGACCAGACAATTAAAAAACTGTGAAAAATTCACACCCGCCAGAGAAATTAACAAACACTAAATTGGATAAAACTCGCGCACGACCCAAATTCGACAACATCATGTTCAACTCTCTTTGATCTGGTTGAACCGAGCATGTAACAAATTCACAAGCGACTCGACCCGCCAATTACAAAAGCGAATAAAACTCACTCTTTCCTGAAAACTTGTAAAAATTGGGTTCAAGTCATTTTTCAACCAAAATGAAAAAGATAAATAAAAATACTAAAGCGGATAAAACTCGTTCGCCACAAAAAACTCTACACACCAAGTTCAAATCGCCTTCACTTGTTCGAACTGAGTTTTTAACAATTCACAGTCGGCTCAACATGTCAATTCTAAAAGAAGATAAAATTCGCGCTCGATACAAAATTCGTCAGCACCGAGTCTTGCTTCGATTGTCATTCTCAACGAAAAGGAGGCAAAAAAATAAAATAACATTAAACAGACAAATCTCGCTCTTGATTCAAAACTCGTCAACACCGTGTTCAGCTAGCTTTGACCGGTTGAATCGAGTTTTAACAGATTCATAGTCGACCCAACATGCCAAATACAAAAGCGGATAAAACTCGCTCTCGATACAAAATTCTTCAATACCATGGGTTTGCATTCAATTGTCATTCTCAACGGAAAAAAATAAATTAAATTACTAAAGTCGGGTTGAAGTCCTTTTGACCTAGTCGAATTAGGTTGGATACCCATAAGTTTGAGTTCAATTGTCATGCTTAACCAAAAGAGAAGGAGAAATAAGAAAACACTAAAGAATATAAAACGCGGTCCTGATACAAAACTAGGCAACACATAGCATTTTGGTATGGATTTTCGGTGGCGATCTTGAGACATGCTGGATGGGTACAATCTAGAATTCCACCGAAAGTATTTCGAGATATGGGATGGATCTTCGGTAGCGGTCTTGGCAAACGGTGGAAGAGGACAACTTATGATTTCGTCGGTAGTGATTTGAAATGGGTTGCGAATTGGTGGGCCAAGGCGATGATTTGAGCGAAAGATCTTAGACGAAAACCTAATAGATAATTGTTGCGATAGGTGAAACCTATTGGGCAATAGATGGGTAATAGATGTAGACCCAACGAACAATAAATGAACACAAAGATTGTAGAATGAGAGAGTGAGATAAAAGATGGAACAATTGAAACTTACTCACTTGCCAGGAATAGTGTAAGAGTCACTGCACCAAATCTTGACTTTTATATATCAATTAATTGGATAATGTAACTACTATAATTTCAGTAGTTTCGAAGGATAATTATCAGGACATGCAATTCACCAATTTGGAGAACTTGGTCGGGCTAGCTGCTAAAAGACTGAACCAAAAGGTAAAAGCTCGTAGATTGAAGTAAATCGTGATGGCAAAATTGTTGATTACAAAAGATGAACCTAGCATATATAGTATCGGTTTAGTGAGTGAGGAGAGAGAAAGAGCATGAACTAAACTAACTGATCTATATTCTATACTAACTACCTAACTGTTATATGATACATATATATACTATTTAATTGGTGAATCAACTTAATTTATCATAGTATGTTATATCTCTTTACCGTATAAAACCTAAACTATCTACATTTGTCAAAAACAAGTCCGAAGTCCTAATTAATATCCTCGTCAAGCTACACATGCACTGTCACAATAAATTGTGTAGGGAAATTAAACCCGAGAGAGCTTTTCTTCCCACCATCCTGGGGGTTAAAATTTCATCTTGTGTTGATGAGGGTTCATGTGTTGTTGCTTTATATAGGGCTATGATTCCCTCTTTCTAATTGTGGGGGCCGGGTGCGTGGTGGGATCCGCTTATAAATGCAGAGTAAGTAGCATTGTGTGGCAACAACCCAGCTAGCTATTCCAATCCTTGTTCATTGTCTCCCATGGTGGTGGAGCAATGGTATATCTATGTTTCTAGCAGTAGCAGGCACCACAACCCTCTTCTTATTAATCTTTCACCCGTTTGTTTATGTACTTAGTTACTTGTATATCCGACTACGACTAGAGGTACGAGGTGTGCACCTCCTTTTCTCCCAATTAACCTCTCGAGGTCCCGCGAGTACTGCCTTGGAGTTGGGGGAACTTGAGGATATTTCAACACCCTGCCGACTTAACCAATAATTGGTTAGGAATGAATTGTCACGATTGTTTCTCTGCGGATCGAGAAATAGGAGAAACGATAAAACAAGAATACGACACACGAATTTACGTGGTTCACTATCATGATTTGTGTTAGCTAATCCACGGTCAGGAGAGATCCAGTTTCACTATATTTTGAGGAGATACAGGTTACAGAGGAGTATGAGAAGTATTTATAGTACTTCTCCATGTGGTCTAACTCTAAGCCAATATGGTAAATAAAAACAGTTACAAACCAGGCCCAAAACAGAAGCCCAAACATCACCAAGACCCCGTCGTGACATCCAGTCGTCCCCAGATAGTCCTATTCAAGTCACATCAATAGAGTTGTAATTAACCTTCTCCGAATAATTAGAGTTATTAGGATCAATTGGTTTTGACTTGGTATCAGAACTGGTTTGACCAAGTGGTCGTGACTCGTGAGTTAAAATCTCTCACACCCCCAATATTGACAGTTGATTAGACGCACGAATATGTTGGACATGTACAAATTTCAAGCACGTGAGTTGACTTTCCTTTGATGAGTCGTGTAAGAGAGTGATATACAATTTATAATTAATCTTCTCCCAACCACTCAAGTTATTGAAATCAACCAATTCACTGATTTTTGACAATGTGGAAGCTAAGTACTTTCTCTACTGTGTAACTGTGAGCATGATTTGGCAGCCACCTCATACGAAGGAGAAAGTTCTTTTGGGTATTTGATTCCCGTTACTGAATACTTCTTTCCTCTCGATACTTGGTATATTTTCTACTTCTTTCATTGAGTGCAAATATTGACATCTCGACTTCATGGAGGTTGGGGCAAAGTGAACCAACCACAATCTTTGGGCGAATGGATAGGAGATGCTGGAAGAAACCAAGGCTCCTCATTTTAGGAGAAGGCTACTGCAGAGGCCTGAGGTGGTGGCCAGTAACGCACCAATAGACAAACCAGCTCTTATGGGTCCGATTAGTAGGCTCAAGTTGTTGATGCTGCAGATTGAGGCCACCTCAAGCGACTCCGAATTCTTCATCTCCTCCTGAACAACTTCATCTTGGCTGCCACAACTTCCCTTTCCGACGTGACTAGTAGAAAAACAACGTGAAAAGTATCAACAGGCCTATTAGCTCAGCTGGTTAGAGCGTCGTGCTAATAACGCAAAGGTCACAGGTTCGAGACCTGTATGGGCCAGTAGTTTTGTGTTTTAACTTTTCTGTAGCTACTTTTTGATCGGGCTAACGACGCTCCTAGGGCCCATATGCTTTCGTGGGCTTTGGTGTCCGGGCCATATACAATGGAGAGTGATATTAGTTTTAAATCCCAAATACATTGACGACCTTCAACCCTTGCACTGTCAATGTGCTTGTTCGATCAGGATGTGATCATATTTTTCTTCATCAAGCTTCTTACCAATTAAAATTTTACGGCGATATACCCTGTAATGTGCAACTCAGCCAAAGTGTGCATTTCTCTTGTTTGATTCATTAAGTTAAAGTTCCCATGTAACCGTCTTACCAATATGTGAAGAAATTCGTCGGTTAGATCTTGTTCGGGAACAAAAGGTTTTGCAGATCACGACGTGTTCGCAATCCTTGTTTGTTTGTGGACAGGAATAAATAGGGGTGGACCAAGGTCGGTTTCGGTCTAACCAATAATCGAGATTTTATGGACGTGAATAAATAGGGGTGGACTAAGGTCGATTTTGAACTAACCTAAAATCAAAATCTCGATTATTGGTTAGCCGAAACTCGGCCAAGCAATCACTGAAAGCCGACCGAAGGGAGAGCTCGGTTAATTGGCCCATCGACTGTATGGTTTTCAATTTTGGGCACGGTTAGCCGAAAATCGAAGGATCGTGGAGACGAGCAACCGAGCAGGAGGATGGTGGAGATGGCGACCGGCGACGAAAGCGCAACCGGGACGCGTGAGGTCGTGGCGCGTGAGGTCACTGAGTTGGGGGTGAGCGGGGTGGCGACGACCTTCTAACTTGTCTCTGTTTGCGGCGGAGGTCGATTTCTTCCGGACGGGAGGAAGAGGGAGAAGGAGACGAGACGCAAGGGGGTTAGGAGTTGTCGGGTGGGTGTGGCTCGTTTGGGGCTTTGGGGTTTTGGGGGTCGGAGTTCGGTTAGTCGGGCAAACGATGGTCGTCGGTCACTCACCTAACCAACGTCCGCCCCTCTGCCTCCGACCAGCGACCGTCAAAATGGGCACACA